CTCCCTGCGCAAGCGGCCTGTTGACAATTTGAGCGACATTCCCTGCGCAGCTTGCGCATCCTGCGTTCTCTCGCTACAGCTGAAAGATTAGCACCAGCATTTTCGAGCGTGCGAGCATAGTGCAAACTGTTCACATGAATCTGAGTCGGGCCATGATCCGACTCCTTGGGCCCATGCTTCCACACGGCCGTCTTCGACTGCTGCAAGCCCCTCACTGTGCCTGGCCGGCAAGGGCCCCGAACCCAGTGCCTCAGACCCAGAGGTGCTGATAGCGTGCCGCAAGTGGACTGCCTCTCAACTGCGTGCGCACCCTGCGCGCCTTGCCTTCCAAAAGGGTTCTGCGCAGCATGCAGCATTTGAGCTGCCCGCACTGCACATGCGGAAGTTGATGCGTTGACCCCCAGCCCCAACCCTGCATGAGATCCTGAGGCGAAGAGCTGTTGGCTTTTGAGCCCTGAAGCAAGGTGCCTGGGCCAGGAAAGAGGTCCCTGAACGGGGGGCTCGGGGCTGCTCTTCATCTGGTGCCTCTGGCGCGTGTGCCACGTTTGCCTGTTCCAGGTTGTACAGGTCTGTGTCTCCCCCGGCTCTCCCGGCGCAACCCGGTGCGCTCATCCCAAATTGTTGGGCGGTAAACTCGAGCTCAGCCAAGCGGCAGGTCCTGTACAAACCTGCTCGACTGTCAGCACAGTAAACCTTATAGTCATTCGCTAAATGGTGCACTGAAGTGGGCACGTGATGCACCTTTTTATAGTAAAGCCACTAGAGCTTCTTGATGCCGACAGTTTGTAAGCCGAAGCGCTCAGCGGCTCAAGCGAATGGTGACTGGCTGAACCCGGCTTAGTGCTGGAGGATTGTCCTCATGCTGCTTGCCCTGCATGCCTTGCTGGCCCTGCTGGCTGGTGGTTCTCAAAGCCTTCTCGCACGCACGTGCAATGACCGGAGCAGCCATGTGCTGGCGACAACGGCGCCAGTGGCGCTGGAGGCGTTTAACCTCCACCTAGGACCTATGCCAAGAACGCTTCAAACGATTCAGCTTCGAGAGCTTCATGCTGTGACTTGCGCTCACAAGGCTTTAAGTTTTGAGATGCCTGGGATGTGGATGCTCGTGCATGTATGAGAAAGTGTGAGAAAGGAGAGCCGGGTGAGCAAGGGCTGCGAGGCCCACGGCACCTTTCGCAGCCTTGAGACTCGCGCGGCGGCTCGCAAGGCCTGCAAGGCGGCCTGCAATGCGGCCTGCAAGGATCTCGAGGCTCAGTTTTAAACCCATGCGCATGTGCGTTGCCCGCGTTGCCCGCGTTGCCCGCGTTGCCCTTGCTGCCCTTGCTGCCCTTGCCCTCTGCAGCTCCCACACAGCCATTTTGCCAGCAGGTACTCTTACACATTTTTTTTAGCTCCTTTTTCTTCAGTAGCCCAGCGCCTGCGCAAGATGCCGCTCCAGCGGCTGGCGGGCCATTAGCCCATCTGCATCGCAGTTACCGCAGTTACCGTTGTTACCGTTGTTAGCTCGCGCTTCGCTGCTGCAGCTGGGCGGCCTGCGCGGCCTTCGAGCTGCACGGGCACATCTGCCACAGGCTCCCCAGGCTCCCCAGGCTCCCCAGGCTCGCAAGCTCAGCCTCCGAGCCTCAGCTTCAGCTCAGCTTCAGCTTCAGTAGCCGTAGCATGAGGACTCGAGCTTCTGAGTCTTTTCCACTCGTTGCACCGCACATATCGCTAGCTGATAATTCCTGACTGTCCTGACTGCCTGCACGGTCTTCCATAGGCTACCTCGCGTGTTCCTGCACTGCGATGCTTTGGGGGCCACGTGGGAGCTCCATGCGCTTGTCTGCTCTCGTGCGTGCTGGTGAGCCCCGCAGACTTAAGATCTGTGAGGCCCAGACCCCAGCCCCAGGGCCCAAGACCTAGGCAAATGTTCTTGTCATGTTCCGCATGACAGCTGTGCCGGTGTGAGGGTACGCGGGCTAGGAGACCTTGCTGACCTGGCAGAGGACGGCCCAACTACTGCGCCGGTGTCCTGGCAGTGTCTTGGCAGTGTGCCAGGTGTCGGTGCTTTCCTACATTGGAGTCCAAGCAGCCGCAGTGGCCGCTGCCACAGCCTTCAGGTCCAGAAGCAGCCTTGAATAGCGCACATTGAGCATCAACTGCTACAGAAGGTGATTCACGTTGCTCACAGATTGTATGTGCTGTTGGTAAGGCAGAAGCCAACAGAGGATTGCATTCCCAGCCTGCCCAACAGACTTGGGAAGCGGCTGGGAGCAGGTCACCGCACGAGTCTAGCATGCTCGTAAAGGCATGGGCTGCATCCACTAGTGTGCACAACATTGCTGCCGGCCGTTTCAGCGCATCTCCCGCTACGTAGCCTTTGTAGCCGACACGCCATTCGCCGCAGTAGCTCAAAGTATGAAGCCTCACCAATATGATGTTCAATTTCAGTTTGTATGTGCCCTCGCACAGATAGAACTGCCCAAGCCCCGCTGGCTCCAAGGCGTCAGTTGACGCTGTCGGCACATCTTGACACTTTCCTCCAGCTTGAAAACAGGCCTCGGCCGGATTGCAAGCGGCTCAAGGACAAGGGAAAGGGTGATATGATGCAAGGCCCGCCGGGGCAGTCACTTTGCAGCCACCTGCTGCCAGTCTCGGGTGCAGTCCTCAGCAAGAAAGCGCTGAGACACGATTCGGCGATAAGAAGCGTTCAGCTGAAGGGCGCCCTGATGCTGAGATGTTCGCTCTACGTTAGCTCCAACAGCACCGTGCTCTGCAAGCAGAGTCCCAAGCCAGAAAAAAGCTTGCACACTCTTGCACTAATTGCTGCCATGCTGCCGACAAAAAGCTTGCGAGCAACTGCTGTGACATCATGCAGGGTTGAGGGGGACCTGTAAGTGCGTGATGGCGCTTCAGTTCTTCAGTTATGTAGGACATGGCCATGTGAGAAAACTGTTTGTCTTCAGTGGGGACGTGCTTGGACTCATGTGGTTGTTCATGATGGGTTCGGTCGTAGGGTTCCCTGAAAAGCCTTCTTCTGCTCGTGTGTGGCGGAGACAAAACATCGATCTCAGCCGCGATTTTGCACATGTAGACGTGCACAGCGTCAAACAAGAATGATGTGTTCTCTTGCGACCAGGAATGTTCTCTTGGAGGACATGCGAGCTCGTGCGCGGCGGAGACGCAACATCGACCACTAACGGGATTTCGCACATTCAGACGTGAACGACGTCAGACAGCAATGATGTGTTCCCTCGCAACCAAGACCGTTCTCTGAAAGGACAGGAAATACGACAGAACAGCTTTCGTTGGGAAACCGCATGTTTGTGCAGGATTTCAGTATGTGGGGCTTGGCTCAAGTCTCAGTCTGACCTCTCACATTTTAGGAAAGGAAACATTGGTGACACGCACAGAATTCTTGCAGCCAACAAGCCTTGGAAGACTACCAATGATGCTGTTACATGTAGGCTCTCTGTCTCGTTTACACGTCAATGGTTCATACAAAACATCGGGGCAAATATGCTCTGAAGCCATGAGTGGTGAGGCCAAGAGACAGCCAGTTGACGTCTTTGTGCCATGCATCCTGAAGCAAGGAGGAAGTCAAGCCTGGCGATTCTGCGTCTGCTACCGGAGATGATGTTGTGCGAAGCCTATCAACAGTCGCAAGCAGGTCATGACAAGTGAGAGACTGAGAGATGTGAATATCAGAAAGGAGCGTTTTTAAAGGGTTTTTAGGTGCGCCCTGCTCGGGTGCCAGCCTCGGCGTACAGAATTTTTCGAGTTTGACACAAAAAAGAACTTGCGTGGAAGAATCTCTGGCCCTTTGCATGCTAGGCCTGAGCGTTGTCTTGTAAGCTTCGTTTATGCCTGAGAGGATTTCAGATGGCGATTCTTAAGTGGATCGCACTTCTGTTCGTCCTCGAACAGTGCCACTTTCTCCGCTGTCTTAGGAAGCCAGTCCCAAATTATCTGCCAGGTCTCCCAGGCAACACGACTCCTCTGCTGTTGCCGGATCATCAAGTAACTAAAAGGTCTAGTAATTGACTTGTGTGTTCCTTCACTTCCTGGTTTGCTCTTCTGGTCAGTGCCAAGCTTGTGTGAGCCTTATCACTTCTGGGCCTCTTGTCTTCTTGGCAGCTTCGACTCGTCGAAGCAAGCGTAACAAGCCTCGTAAACAGAGAATTTGAGTCCACAAATTCACATCATCTTCTGGTCCGACGGATGTGTGAGCGGAACCTCTGCTTGAAAACAAGCCGGTACCGAGCGCTGACGAGGCGGAGTGAGGATCGTACCTGCAACGGCAGCAGTAAAAGTACTGCAAGCTTATCACTTGCTTTCATTTGGTATTGCTGCGCCCTGGAGGTGTGAAGAAAGCCTCCACATGATCAATTCAGAGACCAGTTCTCGTCATCATTGCTTTTTGGCATATGCCGGTGGGCATACGGGTATTCTTCTTTGCCCGTTAGATCTCTGCGTTCATTCTTGGGTTTTAGCATGCAAAGGTTCTCAGGGTCTGCAGGTGGGAGTGGCCTTCCGAAGCCGAAATCGGCACAAGGACAGATCACAAGAAATGCGTCGACTCCTTCGGCACCGGCCAAGTCAAGTTGTGTCTTTAGGGATGGAGATATGCGGGGCCTGGGGCCTGGAGCCTTGGGCTCCTTGTGAGGTCGAGCCTGTGCCAGCTGCACGTTCCAAAGATGAGGACGAAGGCTCATCAGCCACTGGCTCTGTGGCACGGCGACCCCGGCGGCGGGAAGCCTGGACCGGTGAGGCCGGACAGCCGGACAGCTTCCTGCGAGGCAGGGAGGACTTAGAAGCTGAGAAAATTAACAGGCTTGGGCCCTCGATGATGGCCTCGTTCTCAATATGCCTCTCTTCAAGGTCGTCCAGACAGTTGTTGGCTTGGCAAACAGCACCAGACCTGCCAGGGCTGCAGCATTGAGTTCAAGCGGCTTCTGCTCCATGCTAAGCTCAGTTCCACATCCAGACTGCCCAGCCTATTCCCGAACTTCTCACTTGAGGCTGCGAGCCATCCGAGAATGGGAGTACCACGATGCTGGGAAGGAACGTATGGCCCAAAAATCTGTGTAGTCTGCTTGGCATTCTTTTGACCTATTGTTCTGAGCAGGAGACTTGGTACGACCCTGATTACGATGAGATTTGTACATTGGAGAAGCTGCCCAAAGATCGGCTGCGAAAGCCCAAGCAGAGCACGAAAACGAAAGCACAAACATTCCAATCTCGAAGAAAAAGCAAGGCCTCCACTGCACCGACCGTTCATCGGCATGAAGCTCGACCCTGGAGAGTGCTCCCATGCAAGCCACGCATCTGCGCACTGGATGGCTGGACAGATTGTGCCGCTACAAGGTACATCTGCAGAGGCGGAGACTATGACGACAAGCTTGCAGGAAGCCGAGCAGAATGTTTTCAATTTCGTTCTGACATGGATCTGACTGAGCACCTTTTCTGGAGGGTTGAGTCCAACGCAACCGCAGGTAGACTACAATATTAATCAAGGAAACTCGCACCCTGCGAGTGTGTTTCGCATGACATAGATAAATAATCCATTAACCAAAAGAGTCTATGACGGGAGTAAGCAACGCTGTTGAGTTATTCCCCTTAAGATACAGGTCATGAAGATTGTCAACATGCTGTTATTTGATTCTTGTTCTTGCATGGGTTGCGCATGGTAACATGTGAAATCAGCAGGTGTGCATACTGCATGGAACTTGAGCATGTTGTGGACTCGCCCACTATCACGCCCTTTGATGTGCAGCTGTTTGTCTCCAGGGACAGGGTAGCAGCCATTGGGGTGACCTGGTGTTGGCCAGAAGGCCCTTGAGGTGGCCGTGCCTCAAGAGCCTAGGCCACTGACCCACGAGGGCGTGCAGAACGGAAGGCACCTCCACCTTGATCCTCAGCAGCGGCGTGGTCGTCCAAGTCTGGGGCATAGGGTCCCACGTCATCTTGTGGGGGCTCAGCTTTTGGCTTCCGGGATTTCTTCTTTGCAGGGTTCCCGCTCCATGACGCCTCTCAGACCTCAAGTCCAATAAAGCCACCGTAACCCCAGTTCTGCAGCAAAGATTGCGCATCCTCGTTTGGGATAGGGGCCACGTCTGAACGTGAGCTGTACGCCGGCTCTCCTTCCAAGCACAAGTGCTCACAGCCTTCCTGCGCAAATGGTGGGTGTACGTTGGAGGTAGTCCCCCGGCTCATCCAGATGATGGGATAAAGATGAGTCAACTTGCTTCTGGCATACCCCAGTGGCTTAGAATCATCATCCAAAGCCTCCAGGATAATATACTCGTCCAGACTACGATACGCAGCCTTCGCTCAACCGAGGCCCATGGTGCAGCAAAGGTATGAGAGGCGGCACATGTAAAACTCTACGCAATTACCCTTACTCACAGGCTTGCAACTGAGGCAGTATTTCAATGGTTTGTCTATGGTCGATTGTTATTTGGCTCAATAGCTATTAAGCAGTGGGAAAAATAGGTTACCTATCCCCTTTACGATTGACCTGCGCAACTGACTATGCGCAGCTTTGAGGTTGCCGAGCCAAAAGAGAGAAGTGCAAAGCAAGGGTTATCACTGGTGTGTATTTGTTACACTATTGGCCAGTCACCCTTTTACAGGTTAGCAGCCGTAAGACTGCAAGCGTGGTCAAGAATGCTGTCAACTGAAGGTAGCTCAGGATCTGCCAGTACAAATCAGACAGCGATCTTCCGTCATCCTATGAGCAACACTGCAGAGGAGGCGCCTGCGGCTCCTGCTCAACTCCCACCTCTAGGGAGAGCGGTGCCGCTGGGTCATCCAGGCGGCCGAGGTCCCTACTGGTGAGTGGTGCTATCAGGGAGATCTCCTCGTCGTCTAGACATGGGGGTACCTCTCCGAGACGCAAGACATCGGTCGTACAAAAAAGCCAAGTCGAGTCCTGAGGCTACTCAGCGTTCCCAAGAAAGGAGTGGTTCTAGATTGGTCGAGGAAGGAAGCTTCTGCAAATGTAGAAGAGACTGATGATTCTGATCTGCATACCAGTCGAAGTATTGGGGACGCTGGCTTGGCTATGTCATTGCTGAAAGCTGAAACGGAAGCTTACATAGAACTCCAGAACCAGGCATTCGCGGATATAGCTGGTCTTAGATCACATCTTGAAGCAGAAGAACAACAGTGTAGAGGATCAGCTGAAAGAATCAAACAGTTGGACCGCTGGAGAGCAATTTCGGAGCTTCAAGCGCAACATATGAACATGAAGTACCAAGGTGACATGCAAGAAAAGACATCTGTTATTGCTGGTTTGGAGCAGAGAGACTTAGTCCGTGATCAGAATTTCATGGAGGGACAGTTGTTAGCTCTGAGGCAGTGCGGTCCGAATTGGTTGAAAGGAAATCCGGGCGGTGATCCGGACTCAGATCCTTCATCATCCTCTACCTCATCCAGCTCATCGTCCTCTTCGTCTAGTCCCAGTGATCGTTCATGATTTTCATCCGAGGATAGTGACAAGAAAAAGAATAGGAAAACAAAAAGAAGGACAAAGTCACATGTAAGGAAGCCGAGAAGGTATTTGTGCCAGTGTAACGTGAAGAAGGAGCATGGCGCTGTTGACGTCAAGATGTGCTCAGCCTTGACTTGCGTGTTGAAGACAGCGCGTGCTGTCAGGATTGAGGTGGAGAAGCTGCAACGTCACCGTGCCAAGCATGCCAGGATCATGTCAGGCAGGGAGGTGATCGCAATCATGTTCGAGAACTTCCGATCAAGTGACAATGCAGAAGTGATGTATCCCATTGACAATCTAATCCACCTCAAGTATCCAGGCGATGAGAAGATATATGATTTCTACAATCGTTGGCGTGCTATTCTTGAGGGTATGCGCGTAGAAGACACTCCTCCAAAGCGAACATTGAGGGACATCTTGTACAAACAGGATAGAGATTCCACGATCATGAGGTTTGACCTTCCCTTGTACTGTATGACCAGTTGCCTGACTCCGACTACCGCAAAACGTATGATTTGCTGATGAGTTTCATTGTGAAGCGTATCAAGTTGGATAAAAGAATTTGGCGGAAAAATAAAAAAAAAGGGGTGAGATCACCAATCCCTCAAAGCCCGGAGCTCTGGCAACGAAAGCAGAAAAGGAAAAGGCCAAGAAAGATAAGAAGAGGCAGTAGAAGGAAAAGAAGGAGAAGGAAAAGAAGGACAAGGAAAAGAAGGAGAAAGAAAAGAAGGAGAAAGAAAAGAAAGAGAAAGAAAGGAAAGAAAAAGAAAAGAAAGACGAAGAAAATGCCGACAAGCCCGGAGTGCCGGTTGTCCCCGAGGCCAAGGCGAAAGCGCGCCCTCACCCCAAGGGAAATGGCCAAGGATTGAGAGCAGAATCTCCCGCAGCTGGAGGTAAGCGGACATGTTACTTCTACTTAGTCAAGCGTGACTGCCAGAAGGGGAAGGAGTGCCACTTTTCAGACGACACCAAGTTGCGCGAGAAGGCTGAGAAGAATGGCCCCCTGAAATCCAGCAGTGCTTCCCCGAAAGGACAAGGTGTGCCACGATTTCCAGAAGGGAAATTGCAAGAGGGGGGACAAGTGTCCCTACTCACGCAAGTCCGAGTGAGGTTTTCAGACACTACGTACATTAAGCCATATGTCATTGAAGTCAGAGAGGGCACAGGATGGAGGAAAGTGAAGGATCCATATCAAAGACATTCCAACCCACGGCTATGTGATGAGAAGATCTTTCTCACCAATAAGCATAAAGTGTTCAGGCGCATTCTGAGGCTGCGAGATGCGCAGGTGATCTCTTATGCGAGGTTGCCAACAAGAGACGCTTCAAGCCGAAGAAGGCGTGAGCAGGACCGGGAATGACTTGGGTCATTCAGTGCAACAGGAAGAAGGGTTGCGTCACTAGTGATATCGTCATGGAGGAGTTCAAAGGGGTCAGACTGTCATGGCGTTGGTGTCGTCTTCTACCGCCAATGCCACCAATTTGCCGCTCGGAGTGATGAGATAGGGATGCTTCCCTGACAACCAAACAAAATGGTATCCCTCACGCATACATCTTCTACCGATAGACAGCCCTGAGGGTGTGTCAGGAAGCACATTCGGTTCCACACTCTCATCAAACTCCACAATGTTTGTGGTGACCACTTCTATGCATTTGGCGTTGCCATTAGCGGTTTGGAACTGAATAGGATACTTTGCCTTTGATCTTCTCATCTTATGATCCTCTACTTTCGGCTTGGAGATGAGATCCGAACCACATCCTGTGTCCATAACCCACTGATGCCCCTCATGGTCATTGTCGTCGCTCTTCTCCTCAACAACGGAATCCCCTTCAGAAATCGCCTACCACATCTCCGGGGATCCAAGATGCCGGCCCGTTGATCACACTCATGAAATGTCTATCCCTTGTCTATTGGAACACACGCGAGACGTTGCTGGGCAAGAAACTCAGCCAGTCACGCCGGCTGAATCCAAAGGTAGCGTTGATGACATGATCGAGGCAGCTATCCGTGAGATAGCTGGAGATCATCCCAAGTTCGGGAAATCGGTCTCGGATAAACCGGCCGAAAATCGAAGGCCTGAGGACAAGGTGAGCAAGTGGACGAGGGCGAGGTCGTTGACGATGGTGAGGGGGTCATACTTGTGGATGAGAACAATGGCGCCCCCCTCAAGATCCCCAAACGCAAGCTTAAGGAAGAAGCCACTTCGATGGCGTGCTTGATATCTCATCGTTTCAAGAATCCTTATTGCCCGGCCTGCGGCAGGGGTAAGATGAGACATGTTTACACTATGAAAGAGGCTTTCAGAGAGAATTGACAGAGTGGAGATGTAGTTACGTTGGATTTCGTCTTTCTAGAGATCATATGGAGGACGACTTCGTGATGAAGATGCTTACTGTGAAGTACATATACACTAACTTCATAGGAGCATGTCCTGTTGATTCCAGATCTGAAGTCAATGTTCGGAACTCCTTGAGGTTGTTCATGCGTGATCGTAAGATCAAAGCTCTTGTGTGGCGATAATGCTGAGGAATTTGAGAAAGCTGCGAACGACGCCCTGGAGATCCCCTTCGATAATTCCGTCCATTACTGCGAGATGGCATTGAACTGTTACACTCTCCTTCACAATACTAAAAAGGTCAATGGTCAGTCCCCTTGGGAACTCACATTTGGTGAGGAATTTGAGCTTCAAGCCTACGTCGTCAAGGAAGCTGAGTGCTAAGTTTGGTCCGGACACCGTCGCGGGTGTCTTCGCAGGATACGTCACGACTTCAGGAGAAAATTGGAGGAGGGAACATCTTGCCTGGCCCTTAGTCGACTTCAAAGATGTGGACCTATCTGTGCCACGTTCCTAGGAATCTCAGAGAACCCATTGTTGCCGACAGGATTTCTTTGGTCAATGACAGATTTAC